GTCATGCCCAGCGATCCTTCGTCGCCTATGGCAACCAGCCACCACCCCTCTTCACTGCACTCGGCCGTGTGCCAGCTTCACCCATCTACGTGTAGTGCACGTGCTGGTCCACATTGGCCATCTTCCGTGCTAGTCCTGACAGGACATCGCCCGGGTCGTGGAGGTAGCGCTGCACCGCTGAGGACGTCCACCGTCCGGTCCTCTTGACCACTTCGATCTCCCCAGTCACCTGGTAGAGCGCCGATGCCCCTCCAATCCTCAAGGAATGGGATTGGAACCGCTCTGCCGGCAAACCCAGCGCCCTTGCGGCCCTCTGCAGCAGGTTCTGCACCTCCAGCCTCTTGATGACTGGGCCCGATGCCCATCGGAACAAGGGCATGTGACTCTCCGGTCCTCGCCCAAAACGCCTCGGCGCCACTTCACGAAGTCGGTGAAGAGCTGTGACCACGCAGACGAACTCGACCTCCGTCTTCAACATTGTCTTGCACGTCCCAAAGGCCTCTTGATCCGCCTTCGTCTTGCGGAACTGTAGGGTCGCCTCCTGGGGGTCGTTCTCATCGGGGCGTCCTCTGGTCGTGAGGGGGATGTCCTGGCCCCTCACAATCATCTCCTGGTCTACCCCGCTGGAGTCAGAGAACTCGCGAGCACGGAGCATGAAGAACCATGCAGTGACCACCGCTGCGTGCGCCATCCTGCAGTCAACCTTGAGCTCTCCAATTGCATCTGCTCCCGAAGCCATCTGCTTGCCGAGCCACTTGAGCATCTGAACTGTAACACCCAGGCGTCTTGGCCTCTTCACTCTTCTCGAGCGAATTGAGCACGATCCACAGCCGGTGCGTCTTGACCGTCGTATCCCCATGTCCAGCTCGTTTGTGCGCATCCTTGATGGCGAAGACAGCTTGCTTCATGGTGGCTACCGAGGTGCCCGACCATCCCAAATATCCCAGGTACCCCAGGACCTTGTTCTCATTGTGGATCGGGTCGCCCTTGTGGTCGAGGTAAGGCGTCAGCCATCCTTGGCGTCGGCTCCAATCACACCACTTTCCCCATGCCGTGGCGTAGGCTTTCTGCGTGCTCGCTGCCTTGTCCCCCACCAAGTGCGCCTCAAGCCATTCTTCCACTTGCGCCTGGATCTCCATGTCGGGGTTGAAGTCCGGGTTGAGGTCGATGAACTTAGCGCCATTCCGTCGCCCTCCACACCTTCTTTCATCACTACCCCCGAAGGTTCCGTCATACTCCTCAATGGCCTCCAGCCACAACTCCTCGCCCCAAAACCACACGGTGCGTCCGGTCATCATCCAGACCCCCCGCCTTCCGATCTGGTAGGGCTCGACCAAAATCACCCCGTCGCCATCTCCTCAGCCACTGTAGCAAAATGCCCAATGACTTGTAATCCTCCTTGTCGGCACACATCCCGGCTTTGCCCTCTCTGCCTTCCTTGGCGAGCTCCGCCGCGGTTCTAACCAGGCTCAAAGCGGTTCTTCGTCTGGTGGCTTTGCACCCTTCTCGTTCTGCCTCTTTCTCACCAACCTGACTTACCAGGCTCTTCCATTCATCCAGGCGCCTGCCCTGAAGGACCCAGATATCTTCTCCTGCCAAGCTCCTCACCTTGCCCACCGGCGCCGCCTTGTCCTGCACCAGGATACGCTGCATGCCTTTCTCAACTTGATCAACGAGAGGCCAGCGGCAGGGCCCACTCAAGGATTCTGCCTGTCCCCATCCTCCTTGATCCATGCATGAGCCGTGACCACAGGCAGCATCACCTCCTGGCTGACGTTGACCGCGTTCTCGTACTTCTCAACCGGAACGCAGTTGCCCTCCTCGAACTTCCTCAAGTAGGATCCCATTGCCGGCGGAGTAACCGACTTGACCATCAGGAATTCCACGGCCTCCCGGGTCTTTTCCACCAGAAAGACGAAACCGGCGACTCGTCTTCTCACCATGGCCTCACCAAGCTCCGAGGTCACGAACTCTTGCAGGGTGCAGCTCCGCCCAACGCTCCCAGCCCATTGCTCCAAGTAGGCCCACTTTACCTCGGTAGGTCCTTCCAGGATTGCGACATCGAAGACCTCGCTGTCGAGATAGGCTGTGAACCCGTTTACCCTGCGGGTCCGGCCCAATGGTGGCTGCCGATCACCCTGTAGCCCAGCGTCTGCCCCTCACCGGAGAAGTACTCAAAGTCCTTGACGAAGCGGGGCCCTGCTGTCCATTCGATCACCTCGACCTCCTTCAACTCTGCGGGCTGTCTCAGGATTGCTCTTCAGCTCGTACCGGTCCTCCTGATCTGCCCACGACAGGAAGCACAGGCCGAAGCGCTCTGTGTCCTCCAGAGCTTGGTGGATGCTTTCTTCACAATGAGCTCTGCTGCCTCCTTCTCCTCCAGGCGGGTGAGAGCGTCTGCGTCCTCATTGTGGAAGGTCCTCCACCAGCCGCCCAAAATGCGACATCGGTGACGTTTCTCCACCAGGTTCAAGACGCGGATCAACAGCCGTCCTGCTCGCACACCACTCTTCCGTCCGGTGAACCAGAAGTAGACAACCTTGTTGTCCCCGGCGTACACCGCAACTCGCCCTTCCCACAAATGGCCAACTTGCAGGCAAAGGCTACGAAGCTCAGCATCTCCCCCAAATGAATGGCCAGCCTGCCGTCCTCCTGTCCCTCAGCCTCAACGACCTGTCTGATCCAAGGCTTCAACAGCTCAACGTCCTCCCGGCAAGCCAGACGATTTGTCCAGTCGATGGCCGCCTGAGGATACGAAGACGGGGCCTCCTCCTTGTTGTCCAGGCAAAGCCAAGCCGTCCAACGGGGGTAACTAACAGCTCTCTGATGTCCCCTCTAAATTTGGTCGCCCATACCTGGCGCACAACCATCTACACCTCCCCCATCAACTCCTCCTAGGAACACATCAGCACTGCGAAGTTCGTTCTTGAGTCCAGTAACCACCACACTCCACCCGTTGGCGACTCCTCTCAATCTCTGCAGTTCCTTCAGCGGGAGACTCTTTCCCCCATAGTTAGCACGGCTGAGCGAGCAGGTAGGCCCCTTGGAGGATGCGGGCTTCAGGCAGTGACATTCTTTCCGTGTCAGCGTCGATGATAAGGCCCCACACCGTTTGCTGGTTGCTGTAACAGCCTTCCTCAGCGTCCTTGAGCTTGTTGATGGCCTTCTCACCCAATAGCTGCGTCACTGCCCATTCATACACCTCACTGGACACCCAAGGTCTCAGCCCGATCACCGGCTCAACCAGCACCATGTCATCGACGAGGATCTTTCCGCAAAAGTGTAGCTCCTCCGTGGCTCGCCCCCATGCTGTCCATTCACCACGAGGCCCAGAGAACCCAAAGCTGGAGACCAAATAGATGACCGTGAGATCTCCCAGCCCTTGAAGGTCTGTAGCGGTTCCGCCTGACCCCATCAACCCCGGCTTCCACGGAACATCCCTAGCGAACAGCTCCGGGTCGACCCAAAGTAGCCTGAAAGCCCCGGCCACATCCTTCTTCGCCAAGACGACCTTGACTCCTGGGTATCTTGCCTTCAGCCACAGGATTTGCCTTGCGACCTGCTCATGAGTCGGCTGCGCCGCTGGAGGGTGGAGATCCTTGTGAGTCCCTCCGTTGACCTGTCGTTGGTCATGAACCAGTCGAGCCTCTGTCGACAGCGACCGATTTGGAAGCATCTTGAGCACCAGCTCAAAGGGCGAAGAGACTGTATGCTTCAGGGCATTGTGGTTTGCCGAGGCGACCAGAACCCGATGCTTGGCGATATCCTTCATCAGCTGGACATACACCTGGCCCATGTCCGCCCTTGCCCGCGGGTGGGGCCGAGTATAGTCACCCTTTCGGGCATTCCTTGGGCTCGAACTTCTCGGAGGTAAGCCTGCAGGTGATCGGGGTGCAACAGCCCGGCGAGCTCCTCACTGTCGGCTCCTTACAAGTTGTTGCGGCCCAGATGTTCCCGAGCCACCCAAAGTGCGACCGCCGCCTTCTCAACCGACCCCGTGAGATCCAGCAGCAGGTCTCCCCGTTCTCGAACAGCTTGCCATGCTTGCGCCCCATTCCCTTGGATTTTGTCGACTCCTGGATGTAGCCAAGCGCCGCTGTCGCCGCCTTGCCCGAGATGCCGGCCTTCTCAAAGTCCACCCAACTGCTGCCTCCAGCTCTGGTACCGGTACCCCTCCATGACCAAGAAGTCCAACCCTGCCATTGGCCCCTGTCGTTCAAACCTTGCCAGTCGGTGGAGCCCCACGAGTTCCAGTCACGACGCCAATCATCCTGTCCGTCCCCTGGTCCGTCTCCTCCCCCACCAGCGTCAGGGCCCCCAGAACCACCAACGGGAACCTCCGCCCAAGGGACCTGCCCGTCCTCAAACCTCGTCGTTGGACCCTCCAGTCGTCGTAGACCTCAGCCACCTGCAGGCGACCCCATTGATCTCTTGTCTCACATCGGGTGTACCTCTCGCTGTGGAACCGGTGCGGCCAGTATGGATAGGGTAACTCCTCGGGAACGTTCCTCGCCTCGGTGTGGATCCACACATAGCCGAGGCTCGCTCTCCGTCTCCACCCCAGCCTCCGTAGTGTTTTCCCCTTCTAGGTCCTCCGCGTCCCATCAGGCTCATCTCGGACTTCCACACCATTCCTCATCAACTGCCATACCAGCGACCTGTTGGAGTTCCTCGTTGTTCAACTGCCCAATGTCATTCTCTTCGACCTGGTCACCCTCCTGCTCTACAGGCTCCTCCTCGTACACGAACTCTCGCCCATTCCAGCCATACGGGTGCCTTCCC